TTTTTAAATACATCCATATCTAAAAACAGCAATTATTGAATAAAAATATTCTTTCATCAGAAAAAAAAAACACCTTTTTTTTTGACCCCTTGTTTGATAAGAATTGCTTCTTATGTGTGTTAAATTAATAACTGAAGCAATAATGTTAAATCTTCAATTTCATTTGAAAAACAATATTTTTAACAACACTTGCATACCTTTTATTTTTGAATCTTTATACACTAAACAAAATTTTAATTTTCAGGCATCAGATAAACAGAAAATAAAATTCACATTTTAAATATTTATAATGAAATATATTAAATTTAAAGAAATAATAAACAAAAAAGATTAAAATTTTTTACCAACATCAACCTTACTTTTAACAAAATATAGGATAAATGATGAAAATTAACTGCATCTTTAATGTTATTATAAATACTTTGATAGAAATTTAATTTATTACTAGTTAAAACAACAAAGATAAAATTTACCACAAGAATAATCTTTTTCGTATCACAACTTTCAGCTAAACAATATAAGCTAATGTTGTTTTAATGTAAATATTACAAGTTACAACAATAAAAAAAAAAGATTAGAAATGTATTGAAAGATTATACTTATTTAGAACTTTACTTTATAGAAATCAAAATAATCATTAAATTAAAAACTTATGAATATAAAACTTATTATACAACTGAAAAAGGCATAATTTTAAAAAAAAAACTATTAAATATCAGACTTACAAATTTTTCCACCTTCAGACAACATTTTTATCTAAAAACTCATAAAATATTTGTAATGTATCATATAAGCATAAAAAGTAATTATACTAAATTTATTAATAAAAAAATTATATATATATATATATATATATATATATATATATATATATATATATATATATATATATATATATATATATATATATACAAATATATATATAGAATTCGGCAGGGGTAAATGAGTACAAGAGAGTAAACCGTAATTTGCTCCCATGAACCACTTTAGAGGAGTGCGGGCAAGAGCATGAGGTAAAAATCTAGCTTCTTGCTGAGGAGTGTTTATAAATATATATATATATATATATATATATATATATATATATATATATATATATATATATATATATATATATATATATATATATATATATATATATATATATATATATATATATTCATATATATATATATATATATATATATATATATATATATATATATATATATATATATATATATATATATATATATATATATATATATATATATATATATATATATATATATATATCTTATACTGCTGAGTTAGGTGAGCATGATGATATCATATTCACAAAACTATTACTGCTGTTATTATATACTTTTTGGAATAACGAAGATGCTGCTTTACTAATAACGAAACTGCATAAATCTCAATTTAACTTTGATTAAAGGTTTAAATACAAACTGTTGATCATGTTGGTGCCCGAAATGTTGAAAAATGTTACAACCAAAAGACCAAAACAATTGCCAAAAAACAGCAAATCTAAATCTACAACATACTACTTTTATAAAACACTATCTTTTTCTGTAATTTAATTCTTTGTTAAACTAACTTCTGTTAAACTAACTTGTCTTCAACCATTTTCTTGTTTAAACAAGAACTTTTGTATTTATATATATTTGCTTGGTTAATTCTACTCACTTTCAATTATTTCTTCTCTAAAACTATATTTGATGCAAAATATTATCAAATAAAGTTGTAATAATACTTTTTCAAATGTAAATGTAAAATAAATCTTTTAAGTAACACTTACGTTTCTCGGAAATATTTAGAATACACATGGCTGTATAAAATTTTTCACTGCTGCAAAATTGATGCAAGTGCTTCACTCTAAAAAGTCTGCTAAACTTCTTTAGCAAAAACATTACGAATGCCAAAACACTGTTAATTTTAATGACTCCTAACTCAATTATGGAAGCTATCTATGACTCCTATGACTCCTACTCAGTAGGGTGACTCTTAAAACAAAACTTTTTAAAAAAACCTGATCTTACCCTTTTAATTTGTTGTATCTAAATATAATTCTTCCAGTGAATATTATTTTTCTTATATCTTCCAGTGAATATTATTAGCGCGCATAGTTACGCGTTTTGTTTTATAGTTACGGTACGGTTTTGTATCTGTAAAATACACTTTTTAAGTAGTTTCTAGACTTTTCTTTACCGCGTGCTTTTTTAAAGATTTCATTTCAACCTTTCATGGTACGAGTTCAAAACCTCCAAGTTGACAATAAGTTGATATGCTTAGTAGCTTAAAATTAATGGTAATCTAAAATCTTTTTTAAATTTCATAAGTAATTAAATTATTGTAATCTTTTTTAAATTGTACTTTTAAATTTAAAGCTTTGTGTTATAGATTACTTTAATTCTTAGATTGCGTCTAGCGTTAAAATATATTTATGGGTAGTTTCATGCTTTCACATAGTTTTGGTTATTGGAATAAAAGCCATGACAACATTTTGTTATAAATTTATCTTAATTTAATTTTTATTGAAAATTTTGTTATAGATAAAATTTATCTTTAGTATGTTAATACTTTTGCTCTTTGAAAAAAAAATTATTTCTGCCTCTTCAATAAATATATAATAATTTGTCTTGCATGAATGAATTTTGGTTTAGGATTTAATTGTGTTATTTTATGTTTGTCTTTCTGTATTTGATATAGCATTTATCATTTGCATACAATTTTATTTAAGTTTAATTGTTTATAATTTATTTAGGTTATTAGAAAATTCATGTTTACAGAGTTGATATTATTCATAATCGAGTTGTTAAAGCAAGGAAATTGTGAAGGTTTATATATCATATATACTATATATATTATATAATAATATTGGAGGGAGTACATACATACATGTACATACATACATACATACATACATACATACATACATACATACATACATACATACATACATACATACATACATACATACATACATAAATACATAAATACATACATACATACATACATACATACATACATACATATATACATACATAAATATATATATATATATATATATATATATATATATATATATATATATATATATATATATATTTATATATATGTATATACATATATATATATATATATATATATATATATATATATATATATATATATATATATATATATATATATATATATATATATATATATATATATATATATATATATATATATATATATATATATATATATATATATAACTATGCTTATCCTTGGAGATGCGGCAGCGTAATAGTGTGTTGGGGGAAGAAAATTTATAAACATGCGTTAATAACCCGTTTTTTATTGTACATAACGCGTTAATAAGTTTTATTACCGTTTTGATCCATGTTTTCTCCCAAAGCATGCCTTTTGACGCTGTCTGCGAAGATATGTTGTTTGTTTCTAAATTTTTTTTTCTCTATAGAAACAGAATAAATTGTAACTTTTTTATTAAGTTTTTGCTAATATGGTTGCAGGTTTTTCTTAACTTCTATCAAATAAACTTAAGAAACCTGTATTACTTTTGACGATGGCAAATTACTTTTATTTTGCATTAGTTTGGATTCTTTATATTTTTGTTTTGAGATTTTTTTTTTTAATTTTTTGAGTAAGATTTTTTTAGTTATTTGGTAAGTTTTTTTATTTTATTGTTAACTTTAGAGTAGTAAAAAAAAGAAATATTTAGTGTTGCTTTATGTTTAAATATCATTCATTTCAATGTCATCATTTTGATTAAATATGTTTAATCAAAATGATGACATTGAAATGAATGATAGGCTAGATGAAGTTATGTATTTACAAAATGATGTAATGCTAAAAGGTGTGTTGAAAATAGTAGTAGACGAAATGAAAGAAATAGACTTAGGCGAGATGAAATTAATCATTTACAAAATGAAAGAAATAGGCTTAACCGAAAAAACGTTAATCGTCGCCAAAACAAAAGAACTAGGCTCAATTGAGATAATGTTAATTGTTGCCAAAATGAAAGAAATAGGCTCAATTGAGATAATGTTAAATGTCGCCAAAATGAAAGAGCTGTTGGACAAGGACGAATGTTTTCTATAGCGAGAAAAAACGCTATTCCAGATTATAATTATTTATTCTTTTTCATTACTTTAGATAAATATATACTGACTGACATAACTTCATTTTTATTAACAATGTCGTGCATTGTAGTCTGCATTCTTTGTTACATTTAAAATAATTGATGCTAATAAATGTTGTTTTATAGTTGTTAAAAGTTTGCATATATGTTTGCATCAGGGACTACTAAAATAACGGGACGCGAAACTTCAAATCGATGCTAAAACGACGACAGGGCCGATTGTAAATGGCGATGCTAGTTTGGTTTAGCAAAGAAGTTATAAAAAACTTACATTAATCTAATTATGTTCACATTTTAGAATACATTAAAGTGATACAAGTTTATATTACTAATATAATGTATATATTTTTCATCAGTATTGTACTGATAAAATATAGGTTAATGCAATAGAAATTTTGGGAGATATTTACAACATTTAAAAAAAAAAGACTTTTTTTTTTTGAAAAAAGTTGCTATTTTTATTGAAAAATCAAAAGCTTTTTATTTTTTGAAAGTAGTAAGATTAAAAAATTGTATTAAGTAGTTTTTAATTTGAGTAATTTATTTTAAGTAATGAATCTATTAAGTGTTACAAAATGTTATGTCATATTTATAATAAATAATAATGGTGTTACTATTATTATTTATAATCATGCCAAGAAAATGTTCAATAGTTAATTGTTCCACAAATTATTTAACATCAACTTCAGAAGAAAAGCTTCATGTTTACATGTTTCCAAGTGACACACAAAAGTTACAATATTGGTTGTCATCTATTCCAAATGCGTTTGAAAAAGTAACTTCAAATATGGGTGTGTGTGAAAAACACTGGCTACCAGGCTGCAAAATGTTTAAAGTTGTTTTTATTGATAAGTTTTACAATGAATAATTTTAATAATATCTTTTTTAGGTTCCTGTTGATCCCCCATCTATTTTTCCTGGATGCACATCTTCAATGGTGCGCCAAACAGTCTCAACACAACCAAGATCTACAAATATAAATAAAATTTCTTTAACATCACGAAATGCAATACCTGATGAATTGGATGATTTCAATCAAATTGATTTAATTAGATTTTATGATGTTGAAATAATGTTGTCTGAAATAAAAGAAAGGTAAAATTAATTTTTTCTCCTCGTTTTATGATATTTGTTTGTTTTGATTTAAAGTTTACTTGTTATTAAATCTATTTTAGATATCCTCAATACTTTGCATTCATTAAAAATTCAAAAGTCATATTGTTTGATGTTTCTCGATCATATCTACCTGAAACAATATTTTCTGTTGAAATTAACTGTTATTCACGTCAAGTTAATATTTATTGTAGGCATACAAAAGTTAACTGCTATGACCTGCTCAGTTTTTCTCATTGTCTAACTCGGTGATCACAGCTTGAAGCTATTGTCGAAAGAGTTTGTACCTCTAGTCCTGAAATAAAAGATGAGGTATTAAGTTTGATTAGTCAAATTAAAAATACATACAGTGATACTTCTGAAGAAATTTCTTTCCTCATTGAACAACTACGCCTCACCACTTATTCTCCAAATGGACTGCGCTTTTCTACTTTATGTATACGTTGTGCACTTAAACTGTATTTGTCCTCCAGATGTTGTTATCGACATTTAAGAAATCTGCTTTGTTTGCCCAGCCCAAAGACTCTCATTTCAAAATTAGGAAGAGTTGGAGTTGGAAATGAAAAAGAGTGCGATAATACAATCAAAGTTGTTTTTGAAAATTTTAAAAGTTCTGAAAAGCGTTGCTGTCTTCTCTTTGATGAGATGTATATTAAACCAAGTATTAGTTTCAGAGGAGGATACCTCATTGGATATAATGAGGACAATCCCACTAAAATTGCGAAAACGTTATTAGTCTTTATGATTAAACCTATGTTTGGTAAACCTTCTTTTGTTTGTAGAATTGTACCAATATTTAAACTGTCAGTGCACTTTCTTCACGATTTGATTATAAACATAAATAAACAAATAATTGATGCAGGAGTAGAATTACTGTGTCTTTTATCAGATAACCATCCCACAAATCGAAGTGTTTACCAAAATTTTGTTGTTAATAAAAGTTTTCCATGGCAAGGTGTTATAGAAAAAGAAAAACCAGTTATTATGCTACACGATCCAGTTCACTTGTTTAAAAGTATAAGAAATAATTGGTTTACGGAAAAAACACAAACAATTAGTTTAAAAATTAATAATCAACCTCTCTCTGGTGATTGGTCTCACATTGCTCAATTATATAACAGACAGAAAACTTGTGTTGCCAAAACTACAAAGCTTTCACGCAAGTCAGTGTACCCTAGTTTGATTGATAGACAAAATGTTGCAAACATAGTTGCTGTATTTAATGAAAAAACTGTTACAGCATTGAGATTAGCTAATTTTGAGAACACTGCCTGTTTTTTAGCACCAATTGTTTCATTATGGAACATGCTAAATATAAAGAGGAAAGGTTGTGATGTTTTACTTAATGATATCAATAGGTCTCCTTTCCAGACACTTAATGACCTTAGATTTAAAGAAATTTTAGCATTTGCTGATGTAACTTCTAAGATGTCAGAGGAAAAGGGATTAAAGCGTTATAATACTTTTACACCAGAATCAAAGCATGCTTTAGTTAACACCCTACAAGGATTGGTAGAATTAATAAAAAGAACTGCTTTCAGAAGATTACCAATATGTTCTTCCCGGTATTTTTCAAGCAGATCGTCTTGAAGATGAATTTGGCATCTACAGGTAAAATTATTTTTGTGTTACTTAGAGTAAAGAAAACTTTGTAGATTTGAAATCTAAAAAACAAATATTTCTCTCATTTATTTATATGTATTATTTTTTAACATACATAAGTTTATTGATGCGTTTTATTTGACAATTGCTGTTTTAACTATAATTTAATACTCTGTTCAACTCAATTTATTTGGTTATATCTTTTTTTGCTTATTTGTAAACAACTAAGAGGCGGAAATTGTTTTATCTCAGCAGAACAAGTATTGAACAGTTTGCACCTTCAGCGGTTAAAATTATTTAGCAAAATAGTTTCTTTGGATGAAACTGACATTCATTGCTCACGCATACATTCAGACTGTTGCACAATGGATCTAATGGAAGAGGATATTATTTATTTAGATGAATGTTTAATTAATGCAGACAATGAATCTATTAATGATCAGGAGAATGCTGCTCTTTTTTATATGGCTGGTTATGTACAGCACAATATCGATCCGCAGCGTATAGTTGATACAACAACATCACAATCAGCTAGTTCTGAATTTACAGATTATGTTTCACGTGGTAAATTGCGTTATCCTGGTGATACTCTTCTCCAGTTTATTTGTGTTTGTTGTCTACAAATAAACTGGAGAAGAGTATCACCAGGATAACGCAATTTACCACGTGAAACATAATCTGTAAATTCAGAACTAGCTGATTGTGATGTTGTTGTATCAACTATACGCTGCGGATCGATATTGTGCTGTACATAACCAGCCATATAAAAAAGAGCAGCATTCTCCTGATCATTAATAGATTCATTGTCTGCATTAATTAAACATTCATCTAAATAAATAATATCCTCTTCCATTAGATCCATTGTGCAACAGTCTGAATGTATGCGTGAGCAATGAATGTCAGTTTCATCCAAAGAAACTATTTTGCTAAATAATTTTAACCGCTGAAGGTACAAACTGTTCAATACTTGTTCTGCTGAGATAAAACAATTTCCGCCTCTTAGTTGTTTACAAATAAGCAAAAAAAGATATAACCAAATAAATTGAGTTGAACAGAGTATTAAATTATAGTTAAAACAGCAATTGTCAAATAAAACGCATCAATAAACTTATGTATGTTAAAAAATAATACATATAAATAAATGAGAGAAATATTTGTTTTTTAGATTTCAAATCTACAAAGTTTTCTTTACTCTAAGTAACACAAAAATAATTTTACCTGTAGATGCCAAATTCATCTTCAAGACGATCTGCTTGAAAAATACCGGGAAGAACATATTGGTAATCTTCTGAAAGCAGTTCTTTTTATTAATTCTACCAATCCTTGTAGGGTGTTAACTAAAGCATGCTTTGATTCTGGTGTAAAAGTATTATAACGCTTTAATCCCTTTTCCTCTGACATCTTAGAAGTTACATCAGCAAATGCTAAAATTTCTTTAAATCTTAGGTCATTAAGTGTCTGGAAAGGAGACCTATTGATATCATTAAGTAAAACATCACAACCTTTCCTCTTTATATTTAGCATGTTCCATAATGAAACAATTGGTGCTAAAAAACAGGCAGTGTTCTCAAAATTAGCTAATCTCAATGCTGTAACAGTTTTTTCATTAAATACAGCAACTATGTTTGCAACATTTTGTCTATCAATCAAACTAGGGTACACTGACTTGCGTGAAAGCTTTGTAGTTTTGGCAACACAAGTTTTCTGTCTGTTATATAATTGAGCAATGTGAGACCAATCACCAGAGAGAGGTTGATTATTTAATGTTTAACAGCGTTCCAATGTCTGAAAAACGTTTTCAATGTGTTGTTTATTTAAAGAAATTATTTTTATTCTTGCATTCAACATTACCATTTGATTTAGAAACAGACAGTATAGGTATTTCAAAAGTTATCTCAATAATAACTAACTGTTTCTTAAAAGGTGTTACGACCCTTGATAATACATCTGATATTGTTTCATTAAACATTGAGGACAGAAAAAGAAACTCAATACTTAGTGGTCTGATTATTTAGTTGACGTTGGTGATATAATTAATAACGTTTTGAAATGTATTTATGGCTTTATATTTATATGGTTTAAAATTTGTTTATAAATATATATTTATTATTATGATATGAATATAATATAGTATGATAAGTAGTGATTAATTAGTTTATTAACATTGTCTTTAAAAATAATTATTTACTGCTATTTTACGGATAATTTACAGTTTCTTTGTAAAAAGTTGTTTTATTTTTAACACTTAATCAACACATTTTAATTTTTGTTTGAAAATAGTGATAAATAATTGAGCCATAACATTTTTTTATTAAATTTCTATTCATAATTATATTTTTGTTTAATAATAAAAGTGTTTCGCTTTTTTTTTTTCATCGGCCCTGTCGTCAAAACTACATGAAATTAGAGTTTCGCGTCCCGTTGTTTTAGTAGTCCCTGGTTTGCATGTATATTATAATCGAAGTTAAAAAATTTTTGATAAATACGTATATATGGTGATATATGTTATATAGTTGTTTTATGAATGTGTTTTTATAACAGTATGAAATGTATTATATCTAATTTCTGCAAGATTGTTAAATGGGGTGTTTTTATATGCTAAATAACATTAAAAAAATATATTGTGTTTTATAATTAGTATATATGTTTATATAATGTTGTTTCCATGATTTCAAAGTAGAGTGACTTGGCAAACGTGTAGAGCAAGATTTATCAACCTTACCAGTCAAGCGATGTTACTGCTTTGGGTCTAGGTGTTGCCTAGCCTTTAATATAACTATTCTGAATACACATTGCTTTATCTTTAATAATTTTTTGCGTAATGTTGTTACCTTTGGTTTACCTTTACGTTGGTGTCAGCTGTTAAAAATGATTAACAGGTAGTTTCATTATTAGAACTCACTTCTTTTATTTATTAACTGAAATTTATTCAAGACATCACATCGCTATAAATAAAATTTGTTTATCATGAAAAAACAATATTTAGCAAGTACTACTCAGGTACCACCGCAGCTTATCTCTATCAGGTACATTGATTTTTAATTCACATATGATAATTTTCTTTGTATTTGTTATATTTTTAACTTCAGATTTATGATGTATTTATTTGCTATAGAAGAACAAATCATTTTGAATTTTTTAAAAATATCTACTCCAATCAACATTTAAAGTTCAATGTTGCATATACCATTTTTAAGTAGCTTCTAGGCTTTTTTGATGCTTTTCTTATTCAAGTGGTTTTATAAGCAAGACCTACAAGCAAATTTGAGATAAAAAGTTTTTCAGCTTTTAAGGAGTATCAATGTTGTTCTCTGTTTAGTTTAATTTGTTTAAATAGAGTAGTTTTAGTAAATAAATGTTTGTTTGTTCTTGGTTTTTTACTTATTTGTTTTCAGATTCTTAAGAACTAGGCAACTTAGCAAAGCAAGATTTATTTTATTTTTTAGTGCAATTGGAAAGAGCTAAAGTGCTTTTTAGTCACTTCAAATCATTTGTTTGTTTTTTTTTAAATAGAAGGATTAATAATAAAAATAATTAGACAGTCGAACTGTTACTGATTTGAGTAAGTTTAATGTTTTGTTTAATTTTGTATTAGATATATATTTTATGTATTTAACATGGAAAACTGACTTTAATTTTTGACAGTTAAGTTTATATACATAAATGTGCCTATATATCAAAAT